ATGTACATGTAGCACTTGATGGAACCTATGTGGAGGGCCCTGTAGAATGAATGTGGCATGAATACCACATAGTGAATAATAAGCTATGGCATAACAAAATGGGGCAATTCATGACCAGCATGGTTTGTTTTGTCCAGCCTGCATTCAACTGCATTGCATATTAAACAAGCTACACGTACACATTATGTAAAATAGCTTCAGAATGTTTGACGCCACGTCAGTCCCGGGGTACCTATACCTCCTTCGTGGAAATACAGATACATCAAAATATATTAAATGTTTTGTTTTCATATCTTCAGAGTTGATAGATTATTGAATGATGTATCACTAGTAAGAAAATCAAAGGGATTGGTCTATAAAAAGCATCTGTGTAAAAAGCGTACATTACTTATTGATCACCCCTCGTATAGGCTATATAATAAATCTTGAATCTTACATCTAACTGACCAATCAGCTCGCTTTCCCCCAAGGTATTGTGCTTTTTAAATTTATGACTAAAAAAACATTAAGGTAAACTATTTATTTAAAGCCTCAAACTCGACATGTATCATGTTTTATATTTTTCATGAAATTAACAGTTACATTTATTTCTCTTAGTAAACAAATAGCCACTTATTCTCAGAACCATCCACTTATTCTTATTTTTCAGATTTTTGGGACTTTCTGATCATTTAACAGAACAATATGTTTGTACTTCAATATTCAACATTTGCCACATATTTCCATGTAACACAAGAGGCTTTATTGAATAATTAGATAATTTTAAGGTGTTGATAGATTTACTTTTTAAAGGCCCTGTTCAAAGTTTGAAAATATTATCTAATCATTCAAATACTTGTATTATTTGTCATTCCTAAAAATTTGTTTGAGACATTTTTCAAAAAGCGTACTACTGAAAAGGTTTCTTCGATATCTTGGTTTCATCAAATACAATACTATAAAGGCCTACTATAAAACACATTTTTTCTTCAAATAAAATTTAATTTCCTTTTTATCAATATGCTAAACCTTCAAAATAAAGCAATATCTATCTTATCTTAACTGTAATAACTGTAATAACTGTTGATAAAGTTTCATATTTCACATTTTATAACATTGAGTCAGCCTACAATACATACCAAAGTACATTAAACTTTTCCTGAGGCCTTTAAGACTATTTTGATTTACTTTTAAAGTCAAATAATGACAAGTAATTAGGGGGATTAAGATACACGTTTTTTAAAGAAACGTGTACGTAAATGAATGAATTGAGAGCGGGACAGTAATACTCGCCATTAGACATTGATGCACTGTTCTGTTTTCCAAAGTCAAAGTAAAATGAGTGCATTGCCATAACCTGATAAACTTGTCCCCAAGGTAGGGAAATCAGTTGCTTGATTACATCGTGTCTTTTAAGTACTTGACTACACGTTTTTAGTCAAACGAGTACTGTAGTTCATAAATTGATTCGAATGGGAACCAATAATTATAATTGCTGTTAAAATTGTTTACATATCGCTTGTTCTTTCCTTCAGTTAACTATTTATACCCCTAGTGCTTTGGAAAGTGAAACAACTGTGGTGACTGTTGGCTCATTTTTGGATGGTTCATTCAATGTGAGCAACGAGGTTGCCGTTGACACCAACACCTATTAATTATATAAAGTACCTAATAAAGATACGCCACAAGGCAGAAGCCCCAAATATCACTTAAAGAGGGCCACACCCTCAAGGCTTTCTAACTCTAGGGTTGGTTTATAGTGATAGCAGGCATACATGTCCATCCTGGCTGCAAGGGTATTTCACAAGTATATAATGAATATATATATGAATTTAAGCATAAATGAAGTCCTTTGAAGAAGGATGTACATGTCTTTAAAGAAAGATAACGATATATTACATAATGTTTTGATCACCATTTGTAACAAAAACACAAATGCATTATATCTAGCGTGAAATTCGCCTATCAATCATTTTCTGAGACACTAAAAGTGCGAATTTCACGATATCACAACCTATGGTATAATGCATCTTTAACCACGACACGCGTGAATGATTTCTTTGGTGGATTAAATCGTTTTTACACATTGATGGAATGGGACAAGTTCCACAGAGAATTAAATTATGTTAAAATATCGTTCTAAACCTGAAGTGGAAAGACTAGCGAACCATTCCCCTACGTGACAGACTTTACATCTGCATGGTGATTATATATATTTTTTGATCACCATTTGTAACTTTATTATCGAAATCGCGGATATATACCTACTCTTCTTGAAATTCGATTCATTCGCCAACATACGATACTCTGAGCTTTTAAAAGTGTGAATTTCGCTTTAATATTGACATACCTGCCAACCTACCGTATTTTTACGGGAATCTACCGTAAATTTTTCGTTTTTCTGTAAAAAAATGACAAACTGCCGTAAGAAAATGCCATTTTTTTCCCGTAAAAACGCCCGTAAAAAAATCTACCGTAATTTTTTTTTTAAAAACTCGTTTTTTTCCATGATAACGGCCGTAAATTCTACCGTAAATTTTTGAAAATCTACCGTAAATGTTTGAAAATCTACCGTATTTCTGCTAAAATCAACAGTATTTTTGTTCAAACTACCGTAAAATCTCCCGTTTTTGTTTGGAAATGCTTAAAATTGAAGTCTTTCTGTACTGTCCCTGTAATAACCTTTACCAAACCGAATATATGGTATCGGCAGGATATTGAATCGATTCAAAATTCTAAATTACATTCCCCGTCCGGGAAAGTCCATGAAGTTCGTAAACAGACCGCAGAACGTTGTAGCTACGTTCATTCAGTTCGCACACAGTTTAAAACCGATTCGGCAACGTTTTGCAGAACGCAGAGACAACTGTTTCTGGTGTGATAGCTATTTTTGTTAATTCGTTCATAAGCAGTTTTTAATACGTTCATCTCGTCTTTATTCCGTCTGCAGTACGTTGGTATCAAGTTTAGATGGGGTTAAATTGTGCGTTCGTCTGGTCTACACAACGTAACCAAGCAGTTCAATTACGTCCTTAATCAGTTTAAACCAGTTGACAATTAGTTGTACCTCGTTCTCAATACGTCCTAATATGTTACTGAATTATCCACCAAATTTCCATACGGTTGAACTCGTTCTAAAATAGTAAACATCATGTCCCTAATCCGTGCAGAACGCATTTATTTTTTTCGGTCGAGTTGGGTCTGTCTACGAACAGAATGAACGAGCTACAAACGGACTAGATTGGGGTACTCACGGCTGCAATTTACGCCTGACTACACAACGTCGTAATACGTCCCTAGTAGCTTTGAAGTACGACACTTCCGTGCGCCCAGGTCGTCTTAAGTACGTTATCACTCGTGCTGATTGCAGAACGTGACGATCACCAGAAAATTTTGAGCATGCTCTAAGTTCTGGAGGACCTACTCGTTCAAGTAGTTTCATGAAGTTTGTAACAGATCCCAAACGGTTCTTAGTGGGTTCTTAGTACGTCAAATCCGTTCGTGCACATTTTAAGCCTGTTTTCGAGAACGTAGTGAGAACTAGTTTGGTGTGATAACAGGGTTAACATACTGTTTTATTCATTAGTTTTTTAGAAATCTACCGCAAAAACTACCGCATTTTTTCAAAATCGAACGCAAAACTACTGCATTTTTTCAATTTTTTCCGCAAAACTAGTTTTTCTAAAATCTACCGCAAAAACTACCGCATTTTTTCAAAATCTACCGTAAAAGTACGCATCTTTTGCATATCTTCCGCAAAAGTACCCGTTTTTCAAAAAATTACCGTAAAAACTACCGCATTTTTCGAAATCTACCGTAAAACTACAGCATTTTTTCAAAATCTTCCACAAAACTACCGGTTTTTAAAAAACCACCGTAAAAACTACCGCATTTTTTCAAAATCTACCGTAAAACTACCGCATTTTTTCAGAATCTTCCGCAAAACTACCGATTTTTCAAAAAACTACCGTAAAAACTACCGTATTTTTAAAAATCTACCCTAAAACTACCGCATTTTTTCTAAATCCTCTGTAAAACTACCGCTTTTTTAAAATTTCTACCGCAAAATTACACTTTTTCCAAAAATCTACCCCAAACCTCTGAAACTACAGTATTTTTTAAAAATCTACCGCAAAAACTACCGTTTTTTTTAAAATTTCCCGCAAAAACTACCGTATTTTCTTAATCTACCGCAAAAACTACCTTTTTTTTACAAATCTACCGCAAAAACTACCGGATTTTTGTTGAAAAATACCGTAAAATCTATCGCATTTTGAAAAAATCTACCGCAAAAATACAGCAATTTTAAAAAAATCTACCGCAAAATTTTGGTCTTAGGTTGGCAGGTATGATTGATGAATCAAATCATCTTTACACATTGATGGTACTGGACAAGACGTTTCACAGAGATATAAAGTATAAAAATACGTAAAAGTGTACTTTCATACCTGAAGCGCAGAAGGAAATGCTCCACAATCCCACATACGAAAACTGAAGTCACGTGACAGATTATACCCACCGTGAAATTTTACATTTACTTTATTGGGTCTATATAATCGGTAATAAGTGGAGACCAAATACAGTGCTCTCATCACACTCTGAATGAATGTTCTCTCTGCCAGCATAACCAAAATTAAAAGATGCGACCATTTATCACCATTTATCATTGAGATATGACATGTTACAAAAAATATGCTGGCACAGTTCAAATAAAGGCATTGTATTTTAGAATTCATAAAATGATGAGCAAAAATGTTTAGTTTCAGTTATGTTCAATTACAGGAAAAATGCCAATTTTTAATTTTAACACTTATTTGTTTTCACTGGCAAGCGAGGAGACTTTTGGGACCCATCCCCTATTTTCGGGGCCACCCCTGGTGTCTTGTTATAACATCCTTGTAACTACAGTGCGAAGTTGGTTAATGCGTTGTTGATTAAGCATGATAACGATTTTATGTGTGGATGGGGAGGGGGGGGGTTCGAGCGCTGACATCTTTTATCAAAGAATCTGCAGCTGCATCAACATAAGAACCTTAGTAAAATGTGTCATAAAACAATTTCGATCTTGGACAAAATAATTAGGTGTGTTGAATAATATTTTTCATTACGTTTTGCATATGTACATCGTGACATTCAAAGAAAGTTAATCACAAACAAACTCAAGTCCTATGCCTGAACCATAATCAGTTTCATCATCCTTGCAGGACAGCGATTGCTTAGAAATAGAGCCGCATTCGCACCTCCTTCTCGCGACATTTCTTGCATCGTTACCATTGTCATCGTACAGCCCAAAGTCTTTCCCAAATGGATCACTATCTATTGGTTGAAGAAACGAAAATATGGAATTTGAGTTTTGCTCAGTAGGCCTGTTATCAAGCAACACTTGCTTCGCTGAATTCAAACGACAGTTAGTTCCCTGAACGTGAATGTCCACCTGTGTTCTATCAATCCCATTTGGAAATATCTTCCCGGACGTCTTGATTTCTACACATGTTATTTGTCGGTACGTTGTCTCTTCTTTGATTCCATACAATTGGCCGATTACTGTTGGATTCTGACCACCTTTACTCACTGCGCGGACTTCTGATTCACCTGAGGACCTCCTAGTGACTTTCACTTTTAGGTATACGAATTTCGATGGAAGATTAGGAAACCAAGCTAGTGAAAGCGCTGCTTTGTTCGGGCAATCCCTCGGTGTAAGGCACACTTGATATGAGTATGAATGAGACCCTGGCCTGTAAAATCTGAAATGCGGACTTGATGACGATTCCGAGGAGTCCATACATTCTTTGAATGCAACTGCAACTGGGTACCTGCACCCCCATCTATTGCACAATCTACAAACTGCCTTGGTCGGATTTTTGTTACAGTTTTTACATTCATCGCTGTCCCGAGAGAGACATCCACTTGTGGAAGTTGAATAAAATATTGGACCATATTCTGGAGCTGTTGTAGCTTTTACTTTGGCCACAGCATTATAGTCTTTCCCATTTCCATCTTGGCCGAAGGTTTCTAGCGTAACATCAACACCAGCTATGTTTGGTTTACTTCCTCCCAATGATATAGACGTTTGAAGAGAACCTTCTGCATCAGTTCGTCCAGTATCAGTTGCCCGGATGTAACCATGAAACTGTCCGTTTTGGCACACAGTCATTATACAATTACCTTCAGATCGTTCCAATCCTGGTCCTCCATTACGTGCGTTTCGGCCTGTAGTATAACGACGTATACCACCCGTGAACGCGTTCTGCGCGATAACAGTTGGTTCAAAAGCAGATGCTGACAATGGTGACTGGCTTGAGGAGTCTTTGTAAGCCCTGACGTTTACATAACAATAGTCAAGGACTTTTCTGTCAAAGTTAACCCAATAATAATCTCTGATGACGATATCTCCAACGAAGATAGTGTACGACTGACGTTTCCTGCGTAATGAAAGCGAGCGAGTAGACGATATTGGACGCAGTGGGCCTTCGACAACCCATCTTCCCGTGTCAGCGTTATAGGTCCAGAGCTTGACATCAGTATAGCTTGCGTTCGTTTCCCCGATGAACTCAGCCTCCACTGCAACCTCGACTTTTCCCTTGAGACTCAATGGTTTTCCATTGGCATCATTAAAACTCATGTGGAATTGTCCTTGGGTGTCCAACTGTTCTACCTCACCATTTTCATTTACAGAAGTTAGATCCCCTGGCATTTCATCAATGCTGGCGGGATCTCTGGGATCAATAAAGTCTATAGACGCCTTGACCGTTCCTTCATATTTTTCACCGTTATTTGTGTAAAAAGAGTCACCCGGAATATGCAGTTCAGCAGCAGGCTCATTAGTGGAAAGATCTCTAGCCATGGGCATGCTTTGAGCTTGTTTGGAATCGATCTCTACGATATTGGACTTTCTCTTTATCGGGAAATCTTTCAAAAAAGTTCCCGAGAAATCCCTCGGAAGATCGAACGCTTTGGATGTTTCAATAAAATCATCGGGTATCAGATTCTCTCGGATCATCACCACTATTCTTGTCGTTGGACGTGGTATTTTGAACTCGAATTCCCCATCTAAGCCGGTAAATGATACTTTCTCGCCATTTAAAAAGACATCGCCATAGAGCAACGGACGATTGATGTCCCTTGAATCATATGCTCTTCCTTTGAACACCCCTTCAACTGGAACATAAGTGATAGCGGTTGGTTCATTTTCATCCAGAGGATTCGAAGTATTTAATTGGTTGCATGACATGCATCCACACTCTAGAGTCACTACGGCACTCAGGTTGTAGCCATTACAAGACAACTGGCGGACTTCTTGTCTGGTTGGACCACAGCAATACTCCGCTGCTTCTACCATATCGGACACTAAGCACGAGTTTCTCTGACATTTACCTAAAAAGAATGACTAATATAAATTATTGAGATAAAAGCGTTCGGATTACATGGATTAGGTTGTGTCCGGATTTCAACGTTTTTGCATCCGCAAGATTTTGTATTTTCAAGGGCTTTTCAAGCTTTTTAGTTGAAAGTCCATGGTATTTTATAGAAATGTAAATGGATTCTCGATGCATTTTAAGATTTCTATTGACAACTTAGCTTCATGCAAATGAATTTAGTCATGAAAGAAAGATTGGGACCTTAATGCCCTTTTGTTTTGATATCAGAACAAATCAGTGTTAAATTGAAAATATTTGAGCATTGTAAGAAATACAATGTATGTTATAATTTGTGAAATTTTTTCCTATTAGACAGGTAAGATGTTCAAATATGAGTGTTCACACTATTCGAATAAGGTGTTCAGATTTTAAGTTTTTTAAGATGGGAGCCAATGGTAGGAAAAACGGAAAACGGAAAAACTGTGTGATAAGTGTGGCCTAAAGTGAGAAGAGACTTTTGGCACTCACCGACAGGAAACATGACATTGCCATTTTGTGGACAGTCTTTTGGTAGTTCTTTTAATTCTTCCGCGGGACTGGAGTCACAGAAATCACCCAAATTCTCTGTAAATTCATCATTATAATATGAGCTATCATCATCTTGATTCACAAGGTTTTAGTTGCTCTCATTTCACTTTCAATATTTCTAGTAAGTATGTTATTCTTTTGACAGAGTAAACAAAACGAAATGCCAATGATACCCTCAGACCAAAGAATAATAGTATCAATGAATCCCAGTAATATCATACAAGGCAAACATCCATAGCTTCTTCCAAAACGTGGATAGTTAGCCTATTTGGTTATATAGTACTAAGTATAACATTGAATTTGTAAACGATAACATATGGTAGTCGCCTTTTCTTCATCATAGAATCGAACAAAGTAAGTAAAAACAATATGCAGAGTTATAGCTGAGACTAAGGTTATAGAGAGTCCATGAAATATGTCACCATTTCTTTATAGTGAGTGACAAATCTCACCTTTAACAATGAGTTGTGCAGAGTCTGACATCATAGCAGCGTAATCATTGTTCGCTCTGCACTTGTACATTCCATTGTCGTCTAACTTCACCGACTCTATGAGGAGAATATTGCTCTTGCCGTAAATATCTTCGTCCAAAAGATTACCATTTTTGAACCTAAAGAAAACGTAAAAATCATTTAAATCTAATAGACCAAGAATACTCAGATAATGGAACACAAAGGTTATGACCTTTCGCCGCGGTATCTGTTCGGGGCCTTCATCAATATTCAAGTTATAATAAAATCTATGTTGGCGCACGATCTTGTGATGCAAAAGTGTCGAAGATGAACCTTCAATGATCGTTCGTTAATTTTAAATCCCGAGCAATTCTCTCGTTTGATCACATATGTCAAGAATGATACTCTTTCCATAATTTCAAGACAAAACTTAGCTTTCTTAATATCAATTCAATGTTATCTCACCATTCGTAATATTCAGGAAATGGTTTACCAGTCGCCTCACATGTAAAATTGATAGTGCTTCCAACTAACGCTACCTGGTCAAAAGGCTGCTTGTAGATTTCAATTTGCTCTGTAATATAAACACAATTGCTCATCGGTTGTGAGAATTAAACTCACGAGTCTTGTATTGCTGTATACATTCATCTTGATCTAGCTATATATAACATGTGACAGAAGGAATACACAGGTTGAACAGTACGGTATACATTAAAAAATTAAAACATAAAAAAGGGAATGTCATCATTATACTATAACGTATCATTCGGTCTTTTTAGAGCTGTTTTATCTCCTACCAGTTCCTATACATTTTTGTATTGATTTTGTAAAAATGTACAAATATACTGTTTCATTATAAAAACTCACCTAATGCAGCAAGGATAACTACAGATGCGTTGCTCGCCTTCACTGTCGTATCAACATAACCAGTCTTCTTCACGACAATTGTATCACTGTTGCACAATCCTTCGACTGGTCGCGCCATCGTCACCCGTTATAGCCATGACACTATACGCTGTCTCGGCTCTTGCAACAGTTGCTGCAATGGGACCGTTCGGGAACTGTAAACTCCTACGGTTATTTGGCTCGTTGTACACTCACAAGCGGTACAGTCTCCGTTGAGAATACCATCAACACATGCGAAATTGCAATCTGTAAAGTAGACATACACCGTCTTCATAAGGTTCGCTTCCGGAAATCCCCGTTGGATGTTTTTTAAGTATACAAGGCCGAGATTTTATTTTATTTCACGATATTTGTTAAAATGGCCTATAAAAAAGTTTTAACCCGTAACAAAAAGGGGACTTCAGTTGACCAAACTTTTGATTGGGAACATGCACGAGTCCACATTCTCAAATGATACAAACGTGAGTTGGTTGTGTTGCTAGTGAAACCAAAATCTCACATCTTTGTTGTCACCTAATCGTTCTTATTCAGATAAAGATTAAAACTGAATCCTACCTGGACATTTTCCTGGAGCGCATTCTCGTGAAATCTTAGTCAACCCATCGCAATTGATGTCATTGACGCTTTGTTTCGTGCACACTCTTTGGCGAGTCCGGATTCCCTCACCACACGTGACAGAGCAATCATTCCATGTTCCCCAAGAGCTCCACGTCGCATATGTCACTGAACCTGAAATCCAAATGGCTTGCCCTTTACCAGCAGGCGAAACGCATTGATTAAAGAAATAACGATACGTGTTATTGACATTGACCGATTTGGAATTAATAGACAGACAAGTACGAGGTCGTTCAAGGTTTGAATTTTTGATTTTTTTAGAACTAATTATCAAACACCAGACGAGAGATGTACCAAATATAGATTTAGGTCTATGGAAAGAAAGGCATTCATACCAGCAGCACCCAGAGTTGTTGTTTGAAGACTTGAAGTAACGTCATTGCCTTGAGACGCAGTTGTTGAAAGTTGCGCTTTTTCAGAAGTTATTGTCGATGTTAAAGATGGTTGTGTCGTGGCGGTTGTTGAAGGTGGTTTTACTGTCTTGGATGTCGAGGTTGGATGTGTCGCGACGGTTGTTGAAGGTGGTTGTGTCGCGACGGTTGTTGAAGGTGGTTGTGTCGTGATGGTTGTTGGTGGTTTTACTGTCTTGGATGTCGAGGGTGGATGTGTCGCGACGGTTGTTGAAGGTGGTTGTGTCGCGACGGTTGTTGAAGGTGGTTGTGTCGTGATGGTTGTTGAAGGTGGTTGTGTCGTGGCGGTTGTTGAAGGTGGTTTTACTGTCTTGGATGTCGAAGGTGGTTGTGTCACGACGGTTGTTGAAGGTGGTTGTGTCGTGATAGTTGTCGACGGTGGTTGTACTGTGTCAGTTGTTGAAGGTGATTGTGTTGTGACGGTTGCTGAAGGTCGTGTTGTTGAAGGTTGTTGTACTGCCTTGGATGTTGAAGGTGGTTGTGGTTTGGTTGTTGAACGCGGTTGCACTGTTGCAGTTGTTGTTTTAGAGCTACTGGATTGAGTTGTTGATATAGAATCAGACCTACTGGGAACTGATGTCGATGATTGCACTCCAGCCCCCGGAGCTTGTGTGATTTTTGTAGGTCTCATTGAATAAGAGGTTGTTTTCTGTTGGTTGGGCTTCCGAGTCGTTGAGTACGATGTTGATACGTGGTGTTGATCTGTGTCACCGTTATCTGCAATGTCAAAACTTCGATTGAAAAAGAATCAAAATAAAAAGAGGCTTCCCCGTGCACAACTATAGTAGTTCACTCTTGTATCATATAAAGTGTTTCGATCTGAGAAATGATTTGGATGCAGAGCTGGTATTTTAAACAATCTGCATCAATTTCTACTTAGTTTTGAAATTGTCTTCTGTAGAAGTTTCGTCACTTTTTTTCAGGACAAGGGGCTGCTAGTGCTGGTACACCAATAGGCTACTGAATGACGTTATCATGGCGCTTACAAAACGATTGCAATTTTAAGATATCTTCTTTTAGAAAGATCATCCCAGTTTAAATATTTAAAAAACCATAAAATGAAGTACGTACGTACCGTTTAATATACCTTTTCCAATTAGCACAAACAATACAGTGGCAGTGATTACAATTACAACTGCAACACCAATGGCGATTAGAATTCTTGTTTTCTTGATTTTGTATCGACTCTTCGTAGGATGGGAAGGTGGTGCATCTCCGTATGGCGGAATATTAGCTAAACTCGGCTGCACGAATGGATGATTGTAGTCTGGTGGAGGGTCTGTATTTGGACGGCCTTGGAGAGTTTCGTAATGGTGTTCATTTGATTTTGTGTTGTAATCAGGTTTGACGTAAACGTCGTCGCCATCAAAGCCTGGATTTGCGTATTCCGCACATTTCTTGTCTGATATTGACATATTGAAAATCCTGAATAAATAAGGAGTGGGCATCAATAAAGATACATTTGCAAATAGGCTTTGCCATCCCCCGAACGCAGGGCTCCAGACATCACCCACTGTGTTCCTTCCCTCTTCGGAGAGGAAGGTACATGTACGAGTTGTGGAGACCTGTGTTCGGAGAATGGGCTTCGGGTGAAAATATGTCATAAAAAGATGGCGTCTGAGTGTAGTTCATCTCCTTAACAAAATATGAACGACATGATCATACAAGTCAACTTCCCGGTGACAGTTCGATTTTCGATTTTTAAGATCAAGTCCATGGTGAAAGGACCACGTGTAGTGTGGCAAGTGATTTTAGACGGTCATATCTTTCACCATGAGTACTTTCTGGGCATAAATACAGTGGTTTTTATTAAAACAATATAAATCAAATAATTCGAAAAATTATGAATAGGGACCCCATGTCAACACTTTTTCAAAATATTTAACCTATTTACTCAGAAGAGGATCTTCTTTTCCTGATTTTTATTGCATGAAAACATTATTCAACAAGGGGTCTAAGACATGTTCAAAAATAGAATGGTATTGAAAGTCTAGTTTTGAAGATATCAATTTTCGATGACCAAAATTATGCCGAAAACAATGGATAGCACGAGTTTTCCCTATGGGAAAATAACATGGGATTTTGGGTTTTTAACTTTAACTCATTTCAATACCCATCCCCTTTTCAGAAATTGTTAATATAGTGTAGAGGAGACTTTCGATATGTTTAAATTGAGAAAAACAAGATCCTCTTTTTCGAAAATAAGCCTAACAGTTTTCAAAAAGTGCCAGGGTGGGGCCCTAATCCATAATTTTTCAGAGAGTTGGATTGATATTTTACTATTATGGGTACTTCACTTGAAAGAAAACACATCGCTTTAATAAAAGCCATTGTATTTATGGCCAGAAAGTACTCATGGTGAAAGATATGACTGTCTAAACTTGCCATACTGAGCGTGGTCTTTTAAAAAGTAGAGTTTAAAAGTAGGCTTTTCCCCCATAAGTGAATTCCAAAAAATAGTTTGTACAATGTGCTTTTGTCAAACATGATATGGATGTGTTGGAGAAATTATATCATCGTGTTTTTACCTTACAGAGGTGTTTCGCAAAACGTTTTTAGCCCAAGAACGTATCTAAAATTCGTCACGCTTTCCCCCTCTCTAATGTTTTCAAATGAATTTCAGATCCATGTTAATAACTGGTTCAAAATTAGAACTTATCAAAATACTAGAATGAATAAAGTATCTCAAATACCATACTGTACCTCAATATGTCAAGGACAATAAAACGTTCACACTTTGTGTTAACTGCGTTCCCGTTTGGAAGGTCCCAATGGTCTTTCCCACGCCTGTGTCAAGAAATGACAAATTTCATTTAAAACCACGAATATATATACTCATCTTGAAATGATTTATGTATTTGCGGAAGCATGTTTCTAAAATCACCATTTTTCACAAAACTTTTTTTACAAATTTTATTTTTAGAAACACCCTTTTTCGATGCGAACAGCCTACTCATATTGAAATTTCTTTTTAATATGATCATTTAACCTTGACACAAGAACTAGTTGTCCCTTGTTGAGGTTTATTTATTTGATTTATTTTGAAAGTCATGATCGTCGGATCACTTCACAAATTGTTTCAGAGCAATTAAAACAGTAATAAAGCGTTTTAATAGGCATTTTCTATGTTTTAATCATGATGGTAATACCGAGAGGAAGTTATTTGATGTCTGAATTCACCAGCAAGTGATGGCATGGGAGCCTTTAAAGTATAGATGATCAATGCTAGTCAAAAGCTAAGTGTCCTAAAGGTGCTGCTCGCGATCGAGATTAACTACTTCAAATAATGTCGACTTGAGGGTCACACGTGAGGGTAACAAAATAGAATGCAATATTTTTTTGCTTCAAGTTTTCTTAGTCATACATATTTTTCCAAATTGTTACAAGTTCATGACTTGATTTCATGATAATGCAAATATTTTTTAATGTTTGACTAAATCTTTGAAAGCGTATCCATATATAGATTTATGTTATTTGATACTCAGTACTTGTAGGACACTGGACGAAGTTAATTCCATGAGGAGTTCAGAGGGTAAATGTCGAGTGCATGATACCTTTCAACACGATAGGCTCCTTTTGGCACCACTATTTTTTATTTACATCCATCAATAAAATAACAATATCCACTGGCGGATTTGGGGTCCCTGGACCCCCCCCCCCTTGGGTGGATCCAGAAAAAAATCGGAGCCTAAAACTTTTTAAAGGCCCTTTTAATGGGTCTTATTTGGCAAAAATGGGCCATATTTCTTAATTTAAGGCCAAATTTTCAGGAAAATGGGCCTTAAATTTTGGTTTTAGGGGCCCAAAACTTTTTTAAGACTCTCAGAGTCTTAAAAAAGTGTTGGTTTCTGGATCCGTCCCTGATATCTCCAGTTCTATTCAGCATTTTCTACACCTTGACAGTTGACAAGTTGTTGCCATGTAATAATGCTTATTAAAATTGTACTTATAGTGATAAAAGTTCAAGTATTGGTCCCGAGGTATACAATCATTTCCAGTTTTTACCTAAAAACAGCTCTTGCTTATCCGTCACTAGGCCAACATTTTTCCACTATATTCACGTCGGGGATGTTATCTTTGATAAAATCAATTGAATAGCAAATCAATATTCTAAAATCGTTGCTTGGGATGAGAGTTAAACCGTGGTTTTGACGTTTGGATCTAAACAATTTCATTTACGGCCTAACTTAATTCAACGTTGTATTGTTCAATCTTTCAATGTTTAGTTCCACTTCCGAGACAGAGTCTTCCACCCACTTGACCATCCACCCACACATAGACAGTTCTCCATCACATGGCTCAATAGTAAAGGATGACCCAAAATGAATGCAACCCATAACAAAATTGATAAAATCGTAAATAATGATAGTGATAATAGGGCTAATGCATAATTCATTTAGGTTATCCCAATTTAGGTTTCAAATAAATCTAGCCAATCAACCTTGGTTTCATAGATCCATCAAAAGAGTCAAGAATATTTTATTATATTAAACCATTACATGCTCAGAAAAGTATACATCATGAATATATATCTTCGTTAAAACATATTCATTAACCCTTAGAATATCATTAAAAAATAACCTGAGAGAAACATACAAATTAAAATATTAAAAGTAAAGCTACTGTACTTCTACTTAATTTGCCAGCTGTTTTAATTTGGTGGATCCGCCTAATTGTTAAAGTCCGCTAAATTAAGTAGCCGCCAAATTCTCAAGTAATTTTAGTACCATGTAAATTAGTACCATTAGTACTTTGTATTGCAAGTCTGCCAAAATAAGTATCCACCAAGTGTTCAAAACAGCAAAAATGCTGCAATTAAGTTGTGCCAAATTAAGTGAAGTACAGTATTTTAAATCACACCTCTGACTGTGTCCATCCCTCTATCTTAAATAATGACTGAGAAAAGGGAAGGAAAGTACCATTATTTGAAAATCTACCATAATTCTATTTGAAAATTCTACCATAAACGTGGTAGATTGGCAGATAATTTTGTTTCAGGGCTCTCACGAGGCTTTTGGACTTTGGAACAGTACCAGAGTCTATTTAACTCCCAGTTACCCAGTCTTTTGACAAGCCATGATTGTTGCAACAGAGTCACAGTAAAACCTATTTAAGTGGAACACCATTGGTATCTCAAAAAAATAGTGTCACGCTTTGGAGGTGTTCCATTTACTGAGGTTCATTTACATCAAATTTATGGGAAATATGACTTGGAAACATGTTCCACTTAAAAGGTGTTCCACTTTTTGGACTATACAAATCTATAAAATAAAATATATGATATAAAATCAAACATGATTCATCATGACTGACCAATTATATCGAAAAAATTCTGCTACAAACTAATATTTCTTGCAGGTAAAAGCCCAGACTGTGTATGGTACTAGAAAGGAGTTGGCAATAGCAGATTTGATGTACAGTGAAACATGTATATCAGAACACCTCTCAATGTGAACACTTTTCTCTGTCCCAATTTTGTTATCTCTCATTGACTCACATACAACTTATTTCACATATAACCTATTTCACATATAACTTATCTATTTTCAGATATTGATTATCTGTTAGTCTGTTAGACTAGAGACTTCATAAAATACTAAATATCTGTAATCAGTACTCATATACTTATGGTATTTGCCATATAAAAGAATTGCATGCTTACAATTATTGTACTGAAGGGGGGGGGCAGTTCCTAAGAAGATGCTGACTAAGCACTTTATTCAAGGTTGCATATCCATCATGAATGTCCACTTGTAGTGCTGACATCTTTTATCAAAGAATCTGCAGCTGCATCAACATTATGAACCTCAGTAAAATGCGTCATAAAACAATTTCGATCTTGGAATTCTTCACGACACTGAGGACACTTTAAAACCTCATGAACTTTTTGGTGGTTCCACAATTGTCCCACACTGTTCAAAACCTTTCCACACATTTTACATGGATGTCTTCGACTTATCTCAGGTCGGTAGTCACTATTGGTTGATTTTGAGCTCTGTATTAGAATAGAGTTCGCTGATTTGCGTTTTTTATCTTGTCTTGAAATGATAAGATTTTCAAATGATCGACGATTTGATTTGATCGGAAACTGCCCTGAGTCTACTCGTGTCCTGCGTTCTTCTTTAACCCAATTGTGTGAGAGATCCCTAGATTGATCAACTAAAAATGACCTATCAAGATTAAAAAGATCAGGTTTGGTTTGTTTTTGTGTATCCGTAGTAGAGTCCTTAAGGTGGCTCTTGTCCTTCACTTCTACAGTCTTGGTATTATTTAAAATGCTATCCATTTTCTCCATAGACATGTAGTCACAATTATCAGAATCACTCGTCCATGCCTTTCTATCCAGGCTTTTACCCCCATTCAACATTATAAGCTTTTGTTTGACTGGAGCATCAATAACACTTCTGTTTTGGGGTTTGTCATTCATGTCCATAGATTCATCGGATTCTATCGTCTTCTGGTTAGATAGTTTTCTTGCACGTGATGATTTACGTCCACTTATCCTGCGCTTACGTTGAATGTTAATATAATTATCATTTGACACTATAGTTGTTTTTGGCATGGGGTATGTCATGTCACATTTTGAGTCCCCTATTCGGGGGATGGGATGAGTCATATTTTGAGTTTTTGTGGGATTATGTTTTGACGGAGATCTTTCTGAGCTTTCAAACCTAACTCCTCTGTTTTGAGATCTGAGGCTTTTTCCACGTGATATACAGGATTTTTTCTCTGAAACTTCAATTTGACGATAATTTTGATCAGCTTTGGAAAAACTATTTTGAAGATTTGTGCGACACGAGCTACCACGTCTCACATGATGGCGTTGTCTGGATTTGAAACTATCATTAGGGGATCGTTTATATTTATATATCTTTATCCCTTCTAATTTTGAAACACTCACAGATTCAGAAAGAGATTGCGCCAGTCTCTGCGAACTGGAGGAGTACTCCTGGGCCACATCAGTTTCTCCCGGGGTCACACCAATAGGCTTTGCAACACCGGTAATCCTCACACCATTCTTTGTATCTATAGTTTCCTCTGGCTTAGTTTGAGCTTTAGAGAATCTCCTTTGCTTAGATTTTGCAATTTTTGATGGTTTTGATTTTGGGCTTATGTTTGGCTGGTCTGTATTGAGCGTGCCTGAATAAACACTAACATTATGCTGTGATATATTCTGTGATTCAAGACCATTCACAGTAGATAATGTTCCCATAGATGAACTCTCCAAAACTTTTGAGTTATGCCCTGGTATTTCAGGCACAGCTGAACTGTTTGTAGCTCCAGGTGTACCAGTTGATAACTTTACTCTGTTCATGATGTCCAATGTGGAGGCTTGTTTAGCCATGATGCCCCCAAGGACACAACTCTCAGGAAAACCTAAAATCAGATGCAAAATGTATTGTTTAATTCTAAGACTATATCAGGCATTATAGTTGGGTAGCTATAGTAGGGTGCATTATGTAGCACAGAATTGGCTGAAGTATGGTTACATTTAGAAGATCTATAGATATATGGACCTAGGTCTAAAAGAATGGGCCTAAAGCTTTATATTTTCAAAAAATCTTCACTTTCTCCAAAATAGGGGATGCATATTCATTTTTCTATTATGCTTCTCTGATATGATTTAATTGTTCTCACTGTACATTGCACATAAAAGTCAAGATTTATGTTAAAAATTTACTTATTTCAGTAAAAAAATATACTAACCTGGATCATCCATGGCACTTGTACTATCTTGGCTTGCTTGACTGGTTTCTATATCTTGCATTTGTTGAGTTTTAGGTTCACGTCTCTGAGACTTTGGTGAAAGATGCTCAATGGATTCCTCATTTTGACGCTTGTTACGAGTCCATGTATTGTCATCTATAAATAATAACAATTTGGTCAAAATTTAGGCAATTATATTTTACAACATGTAATGTACATGTATCAGGGTTCTCACTCGGCTTTTAGACTATGGAGTCTAATGTCTTAAAACACTCTTGCTCCAGAGTCTAATAGCTTTTCCGGAGTCTAAAGTGTTTTTCTGGAGTCTAATTTTACATTTTTGTCACATTATTTGCGGTAAAACTCTTGAGAAAATACATAAAACTGGATACAAACAAGGAATAGGAAGTCAGAAACCTTTTAGAAATAAACATTGGGATTAAAATAGCAAGATGATCTTAAGAAGTATGTTGAAAAGTATACCAATAGGATATCTCTGATCTCACATGGGGGAGAAGTAGTTGCGATACCGCAAAAACAGTAGTCACAATACCGCTAAAAATTTGGGGTCTAAAAATTTACTGGTGAGAACCCTGTGTATAGTAATAACCAAGCAACAGATGTATTTTTTGTATAACAGTGCAGTGATCACTGTCAGCTGATATAGCTTTTATGGTTTCTTTATTTTAGTGTGCAGTTATGATTTTGGGCAAGTCCAAATCGCAGGATGGTATCGAAAGATGTGTCATGTCATTTTTTATAAAAACACTAAGAATACTTCATGATTTATTTTATAACTCACATGTTTCATTATATCAACGAAAATGACTTACTCCATGCAATGGATATATCATGTGTGGGTAACCTTCACTTCTGTTTGAAGTCCCATAACGCTAGGAGGAAAAGCAATTGGAATGGCGTCGGAGCATCATACTCCAAAATGTACCAAATCTTCAAAATAGTTTTTCAAAAGCTGATGAAAATTATCGTCAGATTGAAGTTTCATAGAAAAAATTAAAAAGACCCCATATATCCAGATCTCATTAATACATTCAGGGTTACGCTGAAAATATAAGTAAATATTATTGTGTCACTATATCATGCCATTAACAAGGTTAAAAAGAAATGGTATGGCGCCGTTTTCAATAGCTTTTACACCTAGCGTTATCCGACTTCAAACAGAAGTGAAGGTTATGCGCAAATGATACATCCATTGCATGGAGTAAGCAATAACGCAGATGCGAGTAGGTAGTTACCAGATTCACCACCAGGTGGCTCGTTCGTTTCATATAACCCTTATGTATCTAATAGTTATGCAAATTAAAATATGTCCAGTAAAAGAAAATGTTATCTGTCCAATACAAGAAAAGATAATTCACTTTTTGTGATTTTGTAACATGGGGTCTATGGGGAGTCAACCCGAACGAGAAGTCACATTTTCACAAAATTTAAATTTTTAAAGTTGATAGACTTTTCGAAACCATATTTCTAGATGTAATTTTACATGCAGATTTCAAATATGACATCACTTTGACTGAATTTTGAATATTTAATGACGTAAATCAAGATTATTTCTACTCGCATCAAGTCTATTACATGGAGTGAGTAATTTTCATTGAGTAAAAAAATTAATTTTGAATTTGAAGTAATCTTAGTGTTTTTATGAAAAATAATGAAAAGTGAGATACACTGAGACCTACCTCCACTATTGCACTGTACTTCCACTGTGACATCACCACTGGAGGCATTCAATGGGAAATTAATTTTCTTCCTCTGTGATTTACGTCGAGTTGATTGTCTCAATACATCCCTTGCAGCTTCAATCGATCGCCTCAGACGGGATGATGTCTTCATTTCTCGTGAACCATCAAGAAACTGTTTTGGTTTTAATATTGTCCGATGCATCTTTACTACAATGTTGTTCTCTTGTTTTCCATGTGATATACATATTATTCCATCAATTTCAATTGTTCGGTCACTTTTAAGTCGCTCCAGACATAGTTTCAGTACACTGTCTTGAATATCTTTAATGAGTGGAATGTTCTCAGTTGATCCCATGATTCAGCAGAACTTGAAACAAAGAACATTTATGTACATATGAATATAGTGTTAAGGTATAGTTTCACTGGGTTTAATACTGACTAACAGGGTACCTGGGTGGCAAAGTGTAGCTGGACCTTTATCTTCATATGCAGACCATTTAGGAACAATAAAATCAAATATGCAGTGATGACCTTGACCACTAAATTTGACCTCAAACTACCGTTCAAATTTGTGAATCTTATAAATTTGGAAAGGCAACCATTAACTAGAAAACAGCAACTCCACGGAGTAGCAAATCCCAACTAACACTATAAATCTATTAAAATACATGCATTCAGAATATCAACTGATTTAAGCATTTTGGTGACCATTTAAGAGTTTCAAAGGCACACAAATAATAAAAAAAACTATATTTTAGATCTTTAATAAAGTATCATGTCACCATACTTAAAAGAAATCTCTACGCAACAGCGAATTCCTGCTAGGCAGCCGTTTTGAGGCACAAAATAGAAAGACAATACCATAATTGTGATTTACCCCGGTCCCCATATTTCCTTCAATTTGAGTAAAATATAGCCATACTTTACAGAGATCAGAAAATTATTGTGAAATCCCACATAAGGTGGCCATTTTGAATTTTGTGAGGCTCGAATCAGAAAAATGATACTATATTTGCATTCTACTCTAAATTACCTTTCATTTGAGTATAATAAAGCTATTCTTCAGAAAGATCTCAAAATTGATGCAAATTCCTGTTGGCAGCCATTTTGAATTTTTTGAGGCATAAATCTCTAAATTTCCTTCAATTTGAGTATAATATAGCCATACTTTTATTAGTATAAAAATTTTACTTTTTTAAATTATAGCCAAACAAAATTATTGCAAAATCCCACATACTAAGGCGGCCATTTTGAATTTTACGATGCCCAAATTACAAAAACGATACAACATTTGCAATCGACTCTAAATTGGCTTTCATTTAAGAAATATAGACCGAAGGGGTAATATTGTCGAATACACTCCGCAAACCAAAGATTGACAGTCATTCAAACAATAAGCCTGTATGGATTAGGAATATACATTTATCATGATTATTCAATTAAATAGTTCATTATGTTTCTAATAAAAAGTATATGAAGAACAGTTTTAAATGTCAGAGTCCACTTGCATTTTTCTCATCGGGTTGCCCAAATAATTTGCGATTGCTCATGGTCAAATTATATATTGAAGTAAATAATATTCATCATACTGTACTAGTTTGCATTTTAACTGCAATTCAAAGCTTAATTACAGGCCCGTATAGTCAAGGAGTGGGGGGGGGGGGGGGGCGGAAGGAGTGACCGCTCCCCCTCCCAGAAATTCTTTAAAAATCATGCAGTTTTTTATCATTCTGAACACTTTTCGTATGATTTTTTTGCCAAAACTGTCAAAAAGCTCTCCCTTAGTAAAATCGCTCCCCCAGGTAAATCCTGACTACGGGCTAAGTGAATTGCAGGAGTTTCTCTCTTGTAGGTCTACGTCCAAAAATATCCTGATAGTTCTCTAAAAAGATCGATATTTATAAGAACGCCCATGGGCTTTTCAAGAGATAAATCTCTTCAAATAGACAATCGTGGGTAAAACAAGCAACTCTGGTACATTGTCTCAAAGCATACATGAACGGCTTTAACATTGTTCAATGAAATTAGTCATCACTCATGTAACCATTGTCAAATTCTTTGGCAGACATAAAAGTAACATTGTCATGTGGTATAATAGTTGGCTGAACGCAAGTGATAATAACGCACCGTTGGCCCAGATTTGAGAGTTGAATACTTTTTCTTCAAGGTTAAGCCGTATCCCCCTTTTCACCCCATGAGAAAATATTACACGAACTTAAGATTACCATGAGATGTTGAGATTTTGACAGTCGAGAACTAAACATGGGGTTTTGTACAATCGACGTAATTTGAAAATGTACAGGAAACATTGGACTCTTCACATTAATATTTCTCTATTTATTTGATTCCCCAGAACAATATAAAGAAGGGGGAATATAGACATGAGTATAATTAATTCAATTCCATGACATTTATCATAAATATTATTACTACTCAACATAATTTGACAATAGAATTAACCCGTTTCCGTCACCATTCACATTGACTCCTTATGTGTTTAGATTTTCCCGCAAAAATCTGCCCTACTCTGACGTCGGAGATTTCAGATTTGCTAATTATAATATTCATGAGCTGACTTTGGGGAAAGGTGAATACTTTAGAAAAATCTTAAAATTAACACAAATACCCAGCCCCCCATACACAGCCCATCGGGGCCAGGCTGAAAAACTTGGATTTTATAGATACATGTACATGGATAGATGTTGTGAATATACTGCCATAATTCAAACAATAATATAAATTTGTTTGGTTTAAAATGAACTAACGATTTGGGCAAAATATTCCCGCCATTTAAAAAGAGGCTGACATCTTGAAAAAAATTTCTTTTGCGTAAAACTATTCACCAATATAAGCTTTTGAACCAGGACTGAGGAGACATAGGGGAGTTTTCTGTATTAATGTTGAACAAAAATAACTTAAAATGGGAATTCTATCGACAGAGGTTTTAAAACGGGCCAGTTGTTGACAGACAGACGGGCAGTAACAAATGTCCGCAAACCGTTGAATGAATTTCTTTGAAGCATGACTGCAGATAACCAAACCCGTCTGGCCTCACCTTCTTCTAAGGCCACTGTATCGTGGCCTTCCGGTAAAGATATATTCCTGCATGAACAAATGGTCATGTCGTAATAATAAAATTTGAAATCATATGTCCGCCATTTTTCCACATCACAATTTGAATTGCCAGTTTTGGTCTTATTACCTCACCAAAAATTCCAAAACACATATAAAGTGATCAGTGTATTAGTTCACATCTTCTGGATCGCTAACTTAGAATTTACAGCCAGTTACTAATGTAAGACGTTAACGACATTTCGTCCAGTTTTCGAACATCGCCATTTTTCTTGGAGCCATTTTGTTTTAATTTTAGACGAAATCCTCATGAAATCATGTCATATCTCATCAAGGAGCCGAGCTGGATCCGTTTTAATTAATGATTTATTTATCTGGCGATTTTTAAAATATTCAATTAATTTATGACACGGCGGCCAGCTTTTTTCAAATAGAGTTCACAGTATTCCCGATGAAATCCCCTCTAGCCAAGTATTGGCTAGAGACTCGAGTAAGTCTGGCCCAGTTATCTAATCCAGATGTGTACGACATTTCAGAATCGGTGAGTAGATAACTGGGCCAGACGAGTTTGGTAAGACTGCAGACTCATGATGAGACTCATGCTGTGACTGGCAAAATGGACAATTTGAGATTTCAACACTTGAAATGTGGTAGTTGCTACCTTATATTACTTTCACTATTGTGTTTGGCTGAATATGACTAGGTAACCTAAGGCACTGGGGCAAAGAACAACATGAATTTTTGCTCCAAAGTAAACTTTACCCCCCCCCCCCCCCATCCATTGTTTTACCTTAGATCCAGAGATGAAAGAGTATTTCCAACAATGAAAAGATAAGACAACATCTGAACATAATTTCCGTGAGTATGACAAGTTCCAAACTTATGCATTAATCCTTATTACCTGAATACTGTAGAAAACTTCCAAAAGCTTTTTAAAATTCGCAAATCTCGTGCACTTGCAAATCTCGCGAGAGTTGTTGGCGGGTGTTTCGCGGACATTTTGCGGAGATATTCTAGCAGAATTTCCAGGTATTTGTCCTATTTTCTAACGATATAAGGCTTCATGTTTAATACTTTATTGTAATTTATATAGCGCATTTATCAGGCTTAAACACAAACGATTAATATTGACGTCATATGATCTGAAATCGAAAATAGATCTAATTCATGTTTATTTTGTCTGAAAAATTCCGGATTTTTCAAAAGTTTTCACTGTTTTTTTGAGGAAATTAAAAAATTATCATTCAAGGCCTTCAACGACAACTTTAAAAACTTGTCTAGATAGACAGATATACTTATCTAATTTGTTGATTGGTCTGTTACTGTATTGAGTTTTCCAAATCAATACTCCTATTCGCGATAAGGGTTCAGGTGGTAATTTTCATAAATATCTCCCATGATGCATTGCTTTGGAAGGGACAAATTTTCATTGGCCCACCGAACGAGTCGATTACTCTGAACGTTTCTCAGCTTCTGATCTTCCATCAGCCCCCAAGCATAATTATAATATGATCCAATCTATTCAATAATTATTAATTCGAAAGATAATCGTAGATTTAAGGCGACGCTATATTAAATAAAAAGTACAAAAAATGACTGCCATATTTTTTTGATAAAGACACATGTTTTTAAAATCTGTTTACCTTGTATATGAATTGTGTATCTTGACTAATGAGTAATGAAACATGTCAAAGTTAACATCACACATAAACGCATTTTTCCAAACTAGTGTAACAAATTTTTAATTTTTCAATTTTTTATTTTTGGAGTCCAGTACCATTTTCTAGCAGTTCAGACAGTTTTGACAGTAGGAAACTGTTTCCCAGTCAAGCTTGATAGGTGTTATACTTACATTAATGTGTGGAACACTTTAGATGTACAGGGAGTCGTTTTAACTGCTATTTTCTGTGAGATTTATTTTTGTTTTTATCTGTACATTTTTCTCACTTCCTGCTGACCTACATTCACTTACTCGTTTTTCCTTGCAATTTCACCATAATTAGAGCCAATGATGATTGGTTTTTGTTATATTTATCTAGTTTATATCTTAATCTAGCTAATACATTACAAGATATGTGTTCGTTTTGTGTTAAACAGCAGAAATCGTGATTGCTAGGCAAAGTCATTTATTTTGCAAAAGTTATTTCCTCATTGCACCATGGTTGTTTATTTTGCACTAGTGATATCCTGCCTGGGATTCTAGTGGACTGACTGGGTATTGCATCAGCCCATTAATCACTTGTTAGGTTCGTGTGCAAAACCTGTCTGGGGTATAAAAGCAGAGCACTGATCGCTCCTAGCAGACACGTACACCACTTTTGAAGAGGAAGGAGCTCCTATGTCAGTGTCTCATCTACAGACGAGGGACTAAGAGGCTGAGAAACTTGGAATATTTACGACATCCCAGAAAGATAGAATATTCCCGGCAACTGATGTCCAGAAACTTAGAATATTTACGACATCCCAGAAAGATAGAATATTCTCGACAATTGATGTCCAGAAAGATAGAATATTCCCGGCAACTGATGTCCAGAAACTTAGAATATTTCGTATAACTGATGTCCAGAGAGATAGAATATTCCCGATAACTGATGTCCAGAAACTTAGAATATTTCGATAACCGATGTCAGAAAGATAGAATATTCCCGGCAACCGATGTCCAGAAACTTAGAATATTTACGACATCCCAGAAAGATAGAATATTCTCGACAATTGATGTCCAGAAACTTAGAAGATATAACTGATGTCAGAAAGATAGAATATTCTCGACCAATGATGTCCAGAAACTTAGAATATTTCGATTACTGATGTCCAGAAACTTAGAATATTTCAACGACTGATGTCTAGAAACTTGGAATATTTCGTGTAACTGATGTCCAGAAACTTAGAAGATATAACTGATGTCAGAAAGATAGAATATTCTCGACCAATGATGTCCAGAAACTTAGAATATTTCGATTACTGATGTCCAGAAACTTAGAATATTTCAACGACTGATGTCTAGAAACTTGGAATATTTCGTGTAACTGATGTCCAGAAACTTAGAATATTTCAACGACTGATGCCTAGAAACTTGGAATATTTCGTGTAACTGATGTCCAGAAACTTAGAAGATATAACTGATGTCAGAAAGATAGAATATTCTCGACCAATGATGTCCAGAAACTTAGAATATTTCGATTACTGATGTCCAGAAACTTAGAATATTCTCGATAACTGATGTCAGAAAGATAGCAATTTTCGACAACTGATATAGAGAAGAATAGACACTCTTTAATATAAACTTTGATATTTCACATAAACAAAGGACTTTCAAGTAGCCTCTCTACAACTTAATTTTACATCGATTTATTCTGTATACATTTTTGGGCTGAATAAGCAACAATATATGTGTGTTTATTTTATATTCGATGTTGTGACGCTATATCTTCACGTGCATTTAATGTGCACCAAGTATCCCTCGAAGTGACCTAGCCTAATAAAATAAATAACAACCATCCACACTACCCAAATTAGGCTAGTTGTTACATTGGTGGCAGTGGTGGGATTGTGTTGATTAGTAATACAATATTCGAAAATGGAACAAGGAACTGACTTTCCACCTCCTCCAGCTGTTGAGGACGTAACTGAGGGGGACCTGGAGAAAACAGTTTTTCTTAATTCAGATGATATAGAAATCGATAATCCAGGTGCCGCTGATGAGACAGCACCAGTGATAGAAGATAATGCGGAACAGGAACAGTCCCCTGGGAAGGTGACCCTGGCAGAAGGAGCCAGACCCAAAATGACTGAGATTAATACTGAGCAGAGAGGGTTGCCCAGTTTATCGAGTACAGGATATTGGACAGGAGGTGTAATGTCAGAACTTGAGACGCCATTTGACCCCATCTCTCAAAGAAGAGATCCCCAAGGAAAACAAAGATTTCCTTTAACTTCTTCTGTTGTTGGCGGATCAACCAGGAGGTTTAGAGAAGAGGATCCAAGGAGACCAGACTTAAACGTAATAGAAAGCAAGATTGAGAGAAGGATTGAGATGTTTAGTGAATCTTTGGTGGCTCAACAAAGACAGATGCAAAAATTGGCTGAAACCCAACAGAAGTGTATGAAGCAAGTATTTGAGACTCAAAGTACTCAAGTACACAACATTACTCAGATCGCAGAGCAAGTTCGACGTTGTCAGGATCAACAAAAGACACAACTACAAGGTATAAAGAGCCAGATAGAAACTATTCAAGAGACAATGGAGAGTTCCATCATTGAGAACATTCAGAATAGTTTTCCTTGTGAGATTGACACTCAGGAACTCTCGAGAAAGACACCATCATATGATTACACCAGTCATAGAGAGCATGTCGCCAGAATGCAGACTCCCTTGATCGAGGGTAGCCAACACCAACCTACAATGCCGGCATTTACACCCGCCCCATTGGCTTCAGATGTGACAAAGCCTTGGAAACTGCATAGGCAGGATGAAGTTTCATTGAAACCTGGTACAAAGTTGATGGAGGATAATAGCCCGGAATTCAACCAGCAACCTGAAGATTTAGAAGGTTGTGGTTCAATTGGGAATAAATTACGGGATGAGCTTGCTGATTTTACCTCTCCATACCAGAGGGAAGAGCCGTTTAATCAACCAAAGGATTCACCACTGAAGAGATCTCCTAGTCAGAAGCCGGCTGGTCCAGAGGACCGAACGGAAAATGATGATAGCCTTCATGGTTCAAATCTATCAGCAGAGCTTGTCAAAATGTGCTCCAAGTTATGTGATAAGCTTGTAAAAGGAACTTCTGAACAATCCAGCAAAAGCAAAATCAAACCTGACGTTTATTCTGGAACTACACCATGGCAAGATTACAGAGCATATTTCGAGATTTGTGGGGAGGCTAATAAATGGTCGGAAAAGGAGAAGAGGAGGTTCTTAGCAACAAGTCTGAGAGGACCTGCCCAACAAATAGTGCTAGAGATGGGACATGATTATAGCTACGATCAACTCCTCCTAGCCCTGGAGAAGCGTTTTGGCCCTGGGGGTAAAGCTGACGTCTATGAGGCAGAGTTAGTTGGCCGAATTCGAAAACCAAAGGAATCCCTTCCGGCATTGGGCCAGGACATCCGCAGGCTCACAGCCTTAGCTTATCCGGAGATGAGCCAGTCAGCCCAAGATCGCCTAGCGAGACGGAGTTTTGAGCAAGCTATTCAGGATGATGATATAAGACGAACAATACACTTGAAGGAATGTATTACACTCGATAAGGCCATAGAAGTAGCCCTCAAGGAGGAGTCGTTTCTAGAATCAGAACGAATAAGGAAAGGCCAAAAACCAAAGTTAAGGGTGAACTTCATCGATTCCGAGGAAGAGTACTGCAACTCTGTAAGTACTCCTGATAATAAGGAAGATGTGTTCCAGAAGATGGCTCAAATGATAGAACAAATGCAACAAGCTGTGCATGAAACTTGCACCAAGAACCTGGAGAAAATGGTTGACCTGATGAAGTTAACCAGATTGGAATCTACAAATAGGGAGAACATGAACAATAGACCTAAATGTTTCTATTGTCACAAGCCTGGTCACCGGATAGCTGATTGTTATTCAAGGAAGCGTGCCGAAGAGCGAGATAAAACAGCACAGGAGAGATCTGGCCAGATTGCTACCATTGAATTTCTTTCTCTGCAGGGGAATGATGTTAAGTCTTCCAAGGACACTCAGAAGATAGTGGCACATGGTACAGTTTGCGACACCAATGTTTCATTTTTAGTTGACTCTGGAGCAGCTAGTACTATCATGAGTTCAAAGGTCTACCAGAATATACCTAAACACAGAAGACCCAAGCTTGAGCCGCCTAAGAGAGTTATCTTGCAAGCTGGTGGACAACCGCTGCAAATGAAAGGTGTTTCATGTCTTGAGGTTAACATTGATGGTCATACAGAGAACATAGAGGTTGTTGTGGCCGATATTGGCTTTGACGGAATCTTAGGCACCGATTACTTAGCTGCCTCTGGAGCTGTGTTGAACTATCGTCAGTGTAAAATGACATTTGAACAAGAGTATCCTGGAAGTTTTTATGATCACCCTATAGACTCAAGAGTGCCTAAAGATCAAGCGAGTGAAGTCAAAGACAGAGAGGTAGATCAACGAGAAAGATTCGGGACAAGAGACAGCTCGACATATCCCAAGAGATCGTCTAGGAGGACAGCTGCGGATCTAGCTGGTTTTTCCCGCTTCAGAGGACATAGATGTGCCAGGAACAAAAGATGTTGTAAAGTGTCTGGGCTAAGTGAAGACT